CGGGGAGACCGGGATCATCGCAAACGTGATTGGGCGGACTATGAAGTTGAGGATGCACCGCGTCGCTCGCCAGGATGGCGCGACTACCATGATGATCGTGATGCTCGCGATGACTCTAGACGCAATGACCGCGCTCCACGACGCCGTGATGTTCGTGATGCCCGCCAAGATGATCGTGATTCTCGTCGCGATGTTCGTGATCGCAGCTCCTCCCGACGCCCCGGATATGACGACAGGTACTATCGCGCACGTTGACGGTTTCCATTCCTCCAACCGTTATTGTTTCCTCTACTGGTAGTCTTCATTATGATACGGATAGCGCTTTGGACGCCAGATGAGACTACAATGACAAATACGGTTATGACACAAGATCCAACTATGATGCCAGATACGGTTATGACCCAAGGGGCGACCATGATGCCAGATACGATTATGACGCCCGGAGCGGAAATGATGCCATATACGGTTATGCCACACGCAATGTTGTGGGTACCAGATACGGATACAAAGCGAGATACGGTTATTTCATTTCAATCGGCCTCCGGTCTGTACAGAACGACAATGATGCGAGGGATTCTTGCGAGTCTAGCGGGAAATCAATACAGTCAGTTGTCGAGTAAGAAATACGCACTTGACAAAGCCGTTCCCAAAGTCGTTACTTCTGAGGCCTATTGCGATAAGGCGAACATCTTGGCGGGATCCCTCGCTTGGTACAATCCGACTGCTGCACGCGGCACAACTACAGCAAATCGGCTGTCCGTCTTTGTGCTTAGTGTGGCTCATGAACATGAAGATTTCTCCCGAAAACAGCGCAATAGTTTCATGCATTATCTCCACGGTAACTGGTTCACGACCCGCGAATGGTGGAAACCACATGCGAAATCACATCTTTGGCACACACGCATCAGTTTGTATAATGGGATGGTTGTTTTTAGGTTTTTCGATTACCAAACGCACTTTGAAGCGTATGTTTGTAGACGAGGATGGTATTATGTGTTTTGTTCCGATCCCAGTTCCTCTCC